CCGCCCTTCCTCCCCAGGGACATCCTCACCCTGCGGCTGGACGTGCTGCTGGAGACGGAGAGCCGGCTGCACTTCACGGTGGGCGGCAGGGCCGAGGCGGCAGCATGGGGGCAGGGGCGGGACACGTTCCACTGGGGTCTGCTCCCCCCACAAATGTGTCCGGTGCCCCCACGGAGTCCTAGCGTGAGCAGACAGTGCCCACGACAGGGAGCGGTGGCCGCTAAGACAGTGACTAGAAGGTTCTAGACTTGCTGTGGAGGGTGCGGCTCAGGCGCGGCGGGGGGAGGTTAGGCCTCCCCCAAAAGTGACATTTCATCGGGACCCGCGGTCAGCAGGCGGGACGGTGGGCAGGAAGGGGCCATCGCAGGCGGTGGGACCCCAGCCCCCACCTACCCCCCCATCCCCACCGAGGCAGGGCCTCTGTCTGCGGTTTCCCAGCCGCTGGGCACCTAGCGGGGGCCCGTGAGCCCTGGTGGACGGACTGCACATGCAGGCGCCACGCCAGAGCCCGACACGGTTCTGATGGGCCTGTCAGTACCTCCCCGCCACCACTTACTGAGAGCACTGCGCACCGGACAGGAGCCAGGGCCCGGAGTGCGTTTTCTCAGTCACCCTGAGCCCGCTGTGCCAGCTGTGCCAGGTGAGCCCGGTGAGCCTGCTGTGCCAGCTGTGCCCAGTGAGCCTGCTGTGCCAGCTGTGCCCGGTGAGCTCACTGTGCCAGCTGTGCCAGGTGAGCCTGGTGAGCCTGCTGTGCCCGGTGAGCCCACTGTGCCAGGTGAGCCCGGTAAGCCTGCTGTGCCAGGTGAGTCCACTGTCTCAGATGAGCCAGCTGTGCCAGGTGAGCCCGGTGAGCCCACTGTGCCCGCTGTGCCAGGTGAGCCCACTGAGCCCGCTGTGTCAGGTGAGCCTGCTGTGCCAGGTGAGCCCCCTGTGCCAGGTGAGCCCGGTGAGCCCACTGTGCCCGCTGTGCTAGGTGAGCCCGCTGTGCCAGGTGGAATAGGGTTGCCAGAGTCAGCAAGTAAAGCAGAGGCTGCCTAGTGAGCCTGAACCCAAGCACCAAGGCACCCGCGCTGTCAGACAGGCTTACAGCAGGAGGTGCCCAAACGCCAGGCTCACGCCACGGCGGCTGTGCTGGGACTTGCACGGACCCCGCGCCCTGGAGGGTGCAGGACGGAGTGGGCGGCACGGGAACCGCTGCGGGCCCAGCACCGGCCTCACGACACCTCCGCTCTCTCCAGATCAAAGATCCCGCCAGCAGGCGCTACGAGGTGCCCTTGGAGACCCCCCGTGTCCGCGGCCGGGCGCCGTC